ATTTTCTTGTACGGACCCCATGCGCGTCGTGGTCTATCGTTTCTTCGTTAGCTGGAATACATACGCCTTGAGGGCGACATACCCCTATCCCCTCCTACCGTGTGACCCTTACTTTAGGTTGTGCATTGAGACTGGCGCGTGATACGGGTGATTGTAAATCTCTAACGGGATGAGGAGGGTGTACAGTCAGCATGAGAAGGACGAAGGGATGTGGCCCGCGTCCGGAGGCTGGCGTGTAAGGGAGACTGTCAGCGCGCCGGACTGGGTTACGCGCTTACGGTGCGTTCTTACGCGGGCTCCGCCGTGTCTTCCCGATTTCAACTTCTCTAGTCTCCCGGCCTATCTCCGGTAGCCCGCGCAAGAGCGAGAGCAAAGAAGGCCCAAGGAGGGAAGGAGCGGATGCCGGGAGTCCACGCCGGAGTTCGATGCCGATCCCGAGGCCGGGCGATTAGGATTTTAGCGCGGCATCGCGCGTGTGCAAGCCGGCAGTCTGGTGTGGGTGCATGTGCGTGTTGATTTTCGCCACACCAGACCACACGCTACTTGGTAATTTCACAGATAACTGCCATAGGGCCGCACGCGGCGAGACCCGCTACGGTTTGCAAGCTCGAAGTTGTACATGCGACGCGGGATGGGTGAGCGGCGTACTTCCGCAGTCAGACCCCGCACATCTCGCGATGGGGATATCTTTCAGACTCATTCAACTCATTCTGAATCAACAGGCCGGTCGACGACAGGCGTCTATTCTCTCTTCTGCGCACGCCATCGAGCCTTCGGCTCGAGGACTTGAGGCCCTGATGCTCTGGGTGGTATCTGGACATCGTACTACTGTACTGGCGACGTTGCAGCGTGGTTCGGCAGGTTCATCCAGGTTCAACGTTCATCCAAGGCTCACGACGACGCGGCATCTTTCCTCGCGCGTCGCGGAAACATGTGCCTTTCAACTTTGGGCGCTGACCACCACCACCACCACCATAATATCTCTTCCTTTCACCTGAGTACACAAGCAAGGATCCCAACGATCAAGACCCCGCAAAGCCCTCCCACCCTTTCAGACAAGTCGGCACGTCGCCGACTTCGCGGATCGTCTTGTGTTGGGGCAGCGAGCTGCTCCTTCGCGCGCGAGTCGATAGCACTCATCGTGCGGCGGATCCCCACAATGGTTGTACTTCATTTCATACCCCTAGTGCTACACCCAACGACGCATCATATATCGCGACTCGAGGTGGCAGCCGTCCTTTGAGTTTATCGCCTTCCTTCTTAGCTCTAAACTCCCCCCTCTCCCCCTCTCGCTCAGACCGACTCTCCCCACAGCCCGCCGCCTCATCATGCACCATAGCACCCATACAAGTAGTGTAATCTTGCTACCATAGACAGCAAACTCGTAAGCTGTTACTCAATCGAGCAAATATACATCCGTATTAGCTATCAATCGTGTTCACCCTGTCAAGGTCGTTCGCGGATAGGCAACCCTCCAACGAGCAGTTGCCCAGAGATACTATTGAGGTAAAGACAGCGCGATAGTACACGTAGACAACGGGAGCCATTTGCAGTAGTCGGTCACAAGCAAGACTGAGTTCCAGAATCCAACTTCGCTACATTTTAACCCTAACCTCAGAAGCCGCCGGAGCTCCCGACGGCATTACGGTATCAGGCACAATTTACAGGGGCTCCAAAACGCCAGCCATTTCAGATGTTGAGTTCGTGCCACCAAGACCCACTACTAGCGTAGCGGGAATACTTGTACAGATGCTAACTACGCACTCCGCCTCCTCCCTCGGACAAACTGGTGTATACAACGTAGGCAACCGTTATCCATGTCTGCTGGCCGGTTCAGAAGGAGGCGACAGGACTACGACCCTCCACTGCCGCAACTGGTTACCGCGCTAGATCGCGACGGTCAGTGCATCTATAGCTAATCATGACCTGCAGGCATACCTGTCCTCCGACTCCCCACGCGAGAAACTTGCAAGCGAGCGATATAATCTGGTTGCTCCGATGACACTGCATCGTTATGATGTAGGGTCAGCCATATACGTAAGAGTCCCATGGGCACGATGGAGACGCACATTGCGACGACTGTGCGTGGCGTTCTCAGTATTCAGCGTCGGAAGGCAATCCGGTAAGGAGACGAGACTCACGTTGTGGGGTGAGCAAGAGCTGTACCTCCAGTGTCAGCGCGATGACCACGATCAAGCTTTTGTGGACATCGTACCAAGTTCATCACCTGATTGACGTTGAGATACAGAAGTACCTGTACACAACAAGTGTTAGAGTCAGGCTACTTAGATTAACTGGGAGGATGACAGACCACCGGAGGAACACCACAAAGAGTAACGATCACGAGCCACACCCACCCCTGCGTCCAGAGGACATGCCAGAGGCTGAACTGAGCCTGACCGGCGTTCTTCCAACGACGCAGCCCGACAACCATCAGTCCGAGCAGGAAGACATCGACAGTCAGAAAGACTACGGTGACGCGACCGGTATCCTCTGCCGACTGTATACTACAGCTCTTCTGAATTGGATCCCATCCAGTATCGACATTCGCCAGAGCTGTGGTCTCGCCCCTGAGCATAGCAGAAGCATGAATAGCAAACGCCACATACAGTAGATAACGAAGCATAGCTGTGTCAATAGACCCATGATCGACAAGACCACGGCTAGCAGTTTACGGTCCCATATCGCGATGCTGCGGCAAGTTCAATACCACTATCAGATCCAATGCGAACATGAACGACTGACACTCGGGTAACAATCAGTGCCGTCGCCGATTGAGCGGCCAACGCCGGAAGAGCCTGTCAGGGAGCAGAGTTAGTAACGCGAGTCGCACAAGTCAAAACGTGGACTTGCTAGCTCGAAGAGGTTCTCTACCTGGAGGGATCATATCGAGGTTAGCAAACGCAGAGGTAAAGCAGACATTGGGATATATGGGCCCACCAGACAGACCGTCGGTCTCTGGTTGTCGATCCCGAAATATATATCCACGAAAGCAGCTAATAGAAGGTACCGCGCGGCGAGATATGCCTAAAGAGTTTGGTTTCATGTTACGGCGCGCCCGATGTATTGGTAACGCACTCCTCTGCCATACCACGACGTTTTGGCGCTCGCAGGGCGGGTGATAATATCCCAGTCAAAGCCTATGTGCGTGACAAACCCCCATCTGGGGCGTGTTATGTTGTGAGCCAGCGATACGAGACAGGATACGTACAAGTAAAGGCCTCCCAAGACCTGCTCCAAGTGAGCTAGAACAACTGACGGCGCGTTATAAGGGGCGGTTCACACAGGCAATCAGGTTGCGACGTACGATAATATTGGAGTTTGACCGCTGAATCTGACTGCTGTGACGCCATGAAGGGTAAGCGAATGCGAATAGGATCGCTGGACTGGAGATTCCCTTTATACGAGCTCTCAATCTCAATGCCATCTTCATCGGAGAGATGGTATCGATCATAACCACGACACCACGTTCGCGATGCTAGGACTCCTGGAAGCTCGTGTACGTGCTCGTTGCTAATGCCAACCCGAGAACGTACGCAAGCAGAATGGGCACGTAGCTGCGATGGAGAAGACGCATGCAGAATAGTACCATCTGCACTTGGGATTTCAGGTGATGGGCGTGGGCGTCGGTACAGCGGCGTCTTGCTGAGCGTCTCTAGTATGGGAGGCGCATTGCCATTGCGCCCAGTGAGAGCATCATAAATTGCTCAGGTTTGGAGATGCGAGAAGCAATTGATATCAAAAGCTAGCGGTGAACGTATACACCGCACATGGGCGGTTGGCTAGATCTTGTGCTCGCCCAGAAATGATCAGGGTGGTGGGCACCCCTTACGAGGAGCATTTATATGCTCTTTAGCAGTATCGGCGCAGATACAGGTAAAGATATTGCAGGCTATGCAGATCTAGAAGGATGCGTCGCGTTCGGGGCATAATGGTGGCGAGAGGCAAACCCTGGACCATGAGGCTGTGTTTACGGCCCGCCCTCCCGACTTCGGCCGTCTGCCAGCGTCTACCGCGTTGTCAACGACCGTCATGTTATAGCTTCCACCAGCCACTCATTTGCTCATGAATCACTCCGACATCACTCTACTAGTCTCTTTGACAAGGATGGGTCTCTCTATGACTGGAAGGACGAGGTCTTGTGAACGTCTTCACTTTGGAATTACCCAGCAGGGAGGCGTGTGGTGGCAAAGCTCGGGATATCATCTCCAATCGGCGCGCCTCGGAGTGCCAGTATATCCCGATTCGTTCAATCGTCTACTAGCGGTGATACCCGCAAGGCTACGCATGACTGGCATTGGCCAATAGGTCTGTGGCCGAACATCAGGCCGAGCTCCTTTCAGTATCGGCAGAAAGAACACCCGGCAAAGCCATTGTCCCATAGGCATATTCTAGTCCGGCTCGTATCGCGCTCATCACTATATCCTTTCCATTGCTAGCCCCACAAAGGCAGCTTGACGACGTAGGTCCTCGTGGCCGAGGGACAATGAACCAGAGGCCACGCGGCTTACGCCGTGCGTGGTTGGCCTCGACTTCTTTGTGATGTGGTTTACCTCTTGAGGTTCATAAAGCGAGCTCTTTCCGTCGATGGACGTCGTTGAGCGTTAGGCCCCACCACCCCCTACAACTTGCTTGAAGCATACCCTTACTCGGCATGTCCTTTGACTCGACTGCCACTGGCTCGAGCGCCTTCACTGGCGCGCCCCGCCGCCACACCATCAAGCGCAAACCGGCACCGAAATATCTCGAGTCGCCGCGAAACCATTCGCCACTCACCCTGGACATCCCTCTGGCTAGTACCTCAAACCCTCTGGCTCAAGTCGATGTGCAGCAGAACCGCGATCTTGCACTCGCGCACTTGGAGGGATACAGGATGGACGGTCCTTCCTTCCGAACTTCGGCAGCTGTGGCGTCGCCTGCTGTTTCGCCCACCACGCTAGTTGCCACCCCGGAGTCGCATGGAATTGCATTCCCTCCGCCGGCTTTTCTCGCTCGCAGCGACTCGCGCAGCCCGCAGGTGCGTAGACCATTCTAGTCTCACTGGGCATTCCTTTTTAACTCACGCCACAGGATCGCGAACCGTTGAGTGGCGCGTGGAACACGCGCCGCCCTAGCAGCATCAGTCAATCCAGCGGCCAGATGTCTCGGGATGTCTCCCGGCGCCCAAGCCGATCGCATCGCTTACCCCACAGGCCATCCGTGGTGGATCTCTTCCAACCGCCCGCTCCCTCTAAAAGCGCTCATGTCCGTTCGGACCCCGACTATGTCGCCAGCCCAGTCACTGCTGAGTTCCAATCCGAGGATCTTCGCACGCTCAATGCCTCATTCGAGCAAGCGCATAACCTGTCGCGCTTCGAAAGCCGCACGTCGACGTTCGTGTCCGCTACTACGGGATCCACATCAATGTTCGACGGAGCGTCTGCTGCTTTCAAGCCTGAAGATGTGACAACGATGCCGCAGATGACTCACAGGCCGACGCAGGGCACTATGGGGAGTTCTTCGGGGACGTGGCGTCCTCCTGCCTTCCTCATGCGCATCTTGAACGAATGGGGCCGAATGGCGCAGAGAGGCGAAGTCACGATCGAGGACGAGTACAAGTCCGTGCATAAGCGTGCTTTGGATGCTGAGAGGGAGATGGCACCGCCTGTGGACGTGTCTCTGCCCTATCTCCAGGAACACGCAGGGGTCGGCCCCGTTGTTCCCGGGGAACTCATCACTCCTGTTGCGTCTGAGCGCGAGGCTCTGTGGCAAATCGACGAGGAGAGGGGTGTCATGCGCATGCATATTCATCCGCGCAAACTCAAATCTACACAAAAACATGACTGGAAAGATGAGATGGAAGGCTGCTTCTCGGCGCTTAACGCGCTCAAAGGCTGTTTCGCAGCACGCAGGCATTAGGCCATGGCGCCCCACCCACCTCTAAAATAACGACATCTGTACGATCGGACAACCTATATGTAGCTCATACTTGTACCTTACAACACTTTGTATTGTATCCCTGCCGCACTGCGTGCTGCTTCTCCCATTCACAATCTATACGGATGCTGGAACCAGATCAAAAAGTCACGGGAGCGCGTTTTGCGACGATAATATCCAACTTTTCCGTTCCTGGTGCGTCTTTCTCGACCGCGATCATCGTCGAGCACCATGGCCTCCTCCTCACTCGCCCCGTACCAGCTCGAGCTCATCCAGAGCGCCATGTCAGTGGAGGCCCTGAAGTTCGGCTCGTTCACACTGAAATCCGGTCGTATCTCGCCATACTTTATCAATGTCGGTCTGATCTCGACTGGGCCGCTGCTCACGTCGCTGTGCGGCGCGTATGCGTCGAGTATCGCGACGTCGCTCAAGGAGAAGACGCTGCCGGAGTTCGACGTGCTGTTTGGGCCCGCATATAAGGGTATTCCGCTTGCTGCTGCGACGTCGGTGCTTCTGCACAAGGAGCACGGGATTGACACTGGCTTCGCGTACGACCGGAAAGAGGCGAAAGATCACGGCGAGGGCGGAATGCTGGTCGGTGTACCCATCAAGGGGAAGCGCGTGCTCATTCTGGACGATGTCATGACGGCTGGTACTGCTGTGCGCAACTCGCTCTCAATGATTCGCGCTGCGGGAGGCGAGGTCGTAGGCGTTATCATGTGTCTCGACCGTGAGGAGGTTGGAAAGGAGGGTGGGAGCACCGTCAAAGAGCTGGAGAAGGAGCTTGGAGGGCCTGGCCGCGTTACTGCTATCTTGAAGATGCGCGATCTGATGGAGTGGTTGAAGGAGAACGGACGTACGGAGGAGCTCAAGGCTATGGAGGCGTACCGGGAGCAGTATGGTGTCAAGGAGTAGGGTTTCAGGTGTGTCCATCGGTGGGTACATTGATTCGTCAGCCTTACAGCATGATGTTGTAGACAGATGTGCAATACAAGTGGTTATAAGTGAGGGATTCGAACCGTTGTGCGGATTGTGGACCTGTTGTGCTTTCCTTGAGCTGTATGTATCCTCACCGTAAGAGACGCAAGTGTTTGTTTGAGTAGAATGTACAGAATGCGGCCCTCAGGACTTTCATGAAAGGCTAAAACATGTATGATGATGTGAAGCGCCGGTGGCCGCCAATTGGCTGCGGATATACTCCTCTGAGAGCACGCGTTTGGGGCAACGTTCCGCTACTGATCGGCGCGAGCCTGAGAGCGTGGCGCGGACCTGTCCCGAGCGCGCGTACTTGCCACTCCCCTTCATCTTGGCCAAGCCGGCCTTTGAGCTGCTTCGCAGCGTAAAGCAGCATGGGTATGCGAAATTTGGTTCTATGTATATGGGTAGCGCTAATGTCCGAATTACACGTAGACCAACCAATCGCGAAGCAGTTGGTGGACAAGATGTATGAGAAGAGGAAGGCGGCGGCATTGGAGTTGGAGAAGTGCGTATTCTGCATTCTATTGTGCTTCTAGATACTAATGCGAGATCTAGGCTTGTGCGCGAATGTCATGCGGTCGGCGACGAAAAGCGTATCGGCCAAATAATCGACCAGTTGATCGACCACTTTGCCGGCGTATCCAACGCATTGCATGTCCGAAACGGCGGACTCATCGGACTGGCTGGGACCGGTATTGCCCTTGGAGTCGACATCGCGCCGTACATGAACCGTTTCCTCGACCCGCTCCTCACGTGTTTCAGCGACCCCGAGAACCGCGTGCGCTACTTTGCGGCGGAGTGCTTGTACAACATCGCAAAGGTGTCGAAGGGAGAGGTCCTGGTCTACTTCAACCCCATATTTGACGCTCTCAGCAAAGTACGTCGCATATATTTGTCTTGTGCTTCCTCTCATGACTCTGGCCCAAGTTAGCTGCGGATCCCGAGCTGTCCGTGAAGAACGGCGCCGAATTGCTCGATCGGCTTTTGAAAGACATCGTCGCCGAGTCTGCATCGACATACGTCCCCCATTATCCTGAAACCGAGAAGGTCAGAGACTCGACAGACCAAGGGATCGTTGTGCCTCATCTGGATGCGGAAGGCAACATCTCCTACGAGAGGCGGGCGTTCTCCCTTGCTCGCTTCATTCCTCTATTATCCGACAGAATCTACGTCATCAGCCCCTTCACACGAAGTTTCTTGGTTTCATGGATCACTGTGCTGGATTCTGTACCGGAACTGGAGTTGATATCGTATCTACCCGAGTTCCTTGACGGACTCTTGTGAGTAGTTTGTGCCACTCAGTACTTCAGCGCCGCTCACTAGACCACCACTAGGAAGTATCTCTCCGACCCGACGGAGGACGTCAGGATCGCCACGCAGAACCAGTTGGCGGAGTTCTTGCACGAGATTAAGGAGATCACACTCGTGCAGAAGCGCCATGAAGAGGCGAGGCGATTGGACGTCGCAACGGCCGAGAGCCGCGCTGCCTTCGCAGAGAGCGAGTCGATAGCTGGCACAACTGCGGCGTCGGATGCAGGAACTGTCAACCGGGAAGAGGCCTTATCTGCCGAGCCAGAGGAGGTAGAGCCCGACGTAGCGTCACCGAAGGAGTTACAGGACCGTGATCCAGGCAGTGAGTGTCATGGTAGTCCGAGTCTTACTCTGTGCTCATCAGTGTCAGCGTGGATACCTGGTCAAGGCGTGGAGATACACTACGAGGCTATCATCGAGATACTGCTTCAGCAACTCAGTCCTGGGTGTGCGTCTGTCACTGCTTTTTCAGGCTTCACTATCTGACATTGTTACTAGATGACGAGATCCAACAAAGCACTGCGCTCTTATGGATATCGGAGTTCCTGACGTTTGCACCTGAAGTTCTCGTTCCCTTCACGCCTCGCCTCATACCCGCCGTCTTGCCAAACCTCGCACACCATGCCCCCATGATCCAGAGCTCCGCTCAAGTAACGAACAAACGACTATCCGAGGTGATCAAGGCGTTGCCATCGCCTTCTGACGTTCCTTCACGCCAAACAACAATGCGCCCAACCGGACCATCTCCTCGACCAGGTTCTCCAGCACCTGTACGACCATCTGCGGGCTCACCCGCCCTATCCCGTGACAGTGGCACACCGCTTCCTCCCACCGCGGACTCGTCGTCCGAGACGCACGTGGCACCGAGCAAACGCAATAGCCTTCCTGGGGATGGTGGCATCTCGAGACTGGCAGCGTTCACGTCCGCCGACCCGAATGCTCCACCATTGCCTTCATCCGCATCCCAGTCCCAACGAGCTCAATCTCCCACGTCTATCCGGAGTAGCGCGGGTACAACATCGAGGGATAAAGAAAAGGAGAAGGAGGCAGAACCCAGTAATACGCCGGGCGATGTCTTCGATTATCAGGCGTCTGTGAACGCGTTGACGTTCCAGTTCTTGAGCGAGCATGAGGATACTCGTGTCGCGGCGCTGAAGTGGCTGATTATGCTGCACCAGAAGGCCCCGAAGAAGGTATGCTCGTATCTTGTCTGTCAGAAAGTGTCGTTCTGACGTCCCATAGATCCTCGCCATGGACGACGGCACTTTCCCAGCTCTATTGAAGACGCTGTCAGATTCATCAGAAGAGGTCATCAAACAAGACTTGAGGCTGCTTGCCCAGATCTCGTCAACCTCAGACGACAACTACTTCCGCCTATTCATGGTCAACCTCCTTGCTCTGTTCAGCACTGACAAGAAGTTGCTGGAAACGCGCGGAAGCTTGATCATTCGGCAACTGTGCTTCAACCTCAACACGGATCGCGTATACAAGGCGTTTGCTGAGATTCTCGAGAAGGAAGAAGTGCGCCGAATGTGGTGCTTGAGATTGAGCTTGAGCTTACAGCGCATATAGGACCTCGAGTTCGCTAGCATTATCGTGCAGAAGCTGAGCATGATCTTGATCACGTCGCCCGAGCTTGCCGATTTCCGAAGACGGTTGAAGACTCTGGAGACGCGAGTAGGTCATTTTACTTGAAAGGTCGCGTACGAACTGACGTTCACCAGCAAGACGGGCAAGCGCTGTTTGTATCGCTATATCGTTCATGGTGCCATAACCCCGTATCGGTGTTCTCGCTTTGCCTGCTGGCGCAGTCGTATGAGCACGCGTCGAATCTTCTGAGCATCTTGTACGTCGAACCTGCCCCCACGTTCACTTGCAGCACGCTGATCATCTTTTCACAGTGCCGAATTGGAGATCACCGTCTCACTGCTGGTGCAGATCGACAAACTGGTACAGCTGATAGAGTCGCCCGTATTCACATGTGAGTATATGCACCTTTATGGTGTTCAACACGGACTGACGCGGAACGGCCAGACCTGCGTCTCCAACTACTTGAGCCAGATCGATATCCATACCTCTTCAAGTGTCTCTACGGCCTGCTCATGCTGTTACCTCAGAGTACTGCATTCGTCGCGCTTCGCAATCGACTGAACGCGGTCAACTCGGCAGGATTCCTGCACATCGCGCCCAAGCCGTATGTACCTATCCATCCTCGAGTTGCGGCAGACACCTAACAAGTTGATGTAGATCATCAGCCGCCGCTTTGTCTTCACGGTCGAAGCTTGTGCGCGATGAGATCAAGTGGGGGGAGCTGCTCTCCCACTTCCGGGCCGTACAGATCAAGCACGAGAAAGCGCGAAGGAAAGATTCGGGCGGGTCGTTCCACGAACCAGCGTTCCCAGATATGAACCAGAGCGCGGTTGGTGAAATGACAGGGCGCCCTCCCATTAAACGCAAGGTCACTGGAGACGTCTCCTCATCCAACGGGTTGTCCGTGAACGTCCCACCGGCAGCGCAGAACGGAAGACCCCCATCTCGTACGGGAGGTGGAGGCGGTCTCAGTCCATTGAACCCCGGTCGCACGAGAGTTCAGGGCACGTTGCCTAGTGTTCTCGGTATGTCGGGCAACCGTACAGCTGGGAACAAGTCAAAGCAGGGGAGCATACCGTTGCTGGGGCGAAAGACATGACGCATGATGGATGTTCAGTCACGTTTATTGACGCTGTTTTATACCCTGCTATCAGATGGTTCCCGTCCGTGCACTCCAGTTACGTTACATTCATGCCCTATATATATATGCACACGTTCAGACTTTGGATTTCGCAACGATGAAGTTCTTCCGGATCGTTTGCAGGTCTTCGTCTGTTAGGCCACAGTACTGCTTCGCGTACCCTTCTGCGCCACCGTATCGCTCGTCTAGCATTTGCATGAAGGCTAGCATAGTTTCGTGGCTGTGAAAGTGCATTAGCAGGTGATTGGCTCGGTTGGATGTGGGTGCTGGACGTACCGCGACGATAGCATGTTGAGGGCGGCGTCTTTGTTGGACTCGAAGATCGGTTCTGCAGCGAGCCGCTTGAGGATGGCTTCGCGAAAGGGTTCGCGTCCAACGCGTGTTAGGGAGTAGTCGTGCGCGATGGTTTCGTTGTCTACACCTGCAAGCTGAGCCATGTTAGCGTAGAGCAGCGGCAATGAGTGTAAGGCACACCGAGAGCAAGATCGCCGCTATAACGCCGGTTCTATCCTTCCCAGCTATATGCTCAACGATCGGTAAAGGCTGATGATACTTGAAGAACTCGCAGCGCACCTGTGCAGTGAAAGAGGAAGCCCTCGTCGGGCTTATCGCGTACATGTCGCAGGATGGTGCCATACGCCTCTCCACCGGCATCAAGAATCTCACTATACAGGACTAGGAAGGCCTATAACCTGAAATGAGCGTATAGTCCTTTATGGCAAATGAAAGGCGCACCTCCGTCTTGCCACTGGCATACATCTGAAACCGCCTCGCCATGTTCGCCGGACTATAGTCTTTCTGCGCGAAGACAGGTGTGCGCAACACCTGCACGCCGTCGATTGACGGTATAGGCGTGCTGTATTTGCTCATTTCAGCTTCTGAACGCAAGTCGTAGACAGTCGTGATGCCGAGCTCCCGTAACCTCTCCTTCCCTGTGGGAACGCGTCAGGTGTCTTCGACGACGTTGAGCCATGATGGCAAGCAACGCACCACTATCCTGTATAGCCGATATCTCAGCAGCACGATACGCAAAGCGCGGGCGCGTCATAAGGGCCGCATCCTCGGTTATAGGCAATGAGCCAATGTCGCGAACATTGAAGACGCCATCAACGGATACGAAGGGAGGGCTGGAGAGCGTGCGGGATACGTATTCGGGGTCGAGCGCCTCAACTTCGCCTTTGGATGGGGATTCCGTATCACTCATGAGGTTCAGATGAAAGAGGTGTTGTGGAACGTGTGTTGTGGCCTTGCGTAGACATCATGGCGGCTCGGAAGATCTGGTGCCGAGAGCTCGTCACGGTCGATTGCGTAGATTGATCGGAAGGGAAGGTCGCTTGTGATTCTGCCCCACAAGCATCTTTGGCAGGCCCTAGTGTACAACAAGTTCTGGCGTAGTTTTACTCTTACTCGATACATTCCCAGCTAATAAAGCCTTCGACACGACTCATAGCGTCCAAAGCGCCGAACCTCAGACGAGCGAGGTGACGGTCGCATCAATGAACGACTCAGCCCTGTAGGCTTCCCCGTTTGGCAGAGGCTTGACCACACCAGCTTTGACAAGTACGCTATCATACGGCTTTAGCCGAAAGCTAGGTCTGGCGAGGAAGAAAAAGACTCACGCAACGGTCTCGCTGATGTCCGACGTAGGAATCTTGTCGCAATCCTTCGGGTAGGCAACCGTGTCGAGCCATGCCTGTATGTCGTGTCCTCACCATTCAGCTCGGGCAACCCGTCCTAGAAGGACGGCCACTTACACGAACATCAGCCTCGGGGTATCCGAAGGTGCTCTTGATGAACTCGACGTCCTTCTCCTTGCGCGCTTCGGGAGCATCGAAGGCGCGCACATACTCGGAGAGCTTTGTCAAGAACTGCTTGAGCGCAGCGCGAGGCGCACGTTCCTCCGAGATATGAGCCGCTATTTGCCAGGATGGCCAGGGAGTGGGCACGGAGCCGATCTGCCGAGATCAGTTAGGTTCATATGCGCATGTATGCACTCATGCGGCACTGACGAATCGAACTTCGCCCCTGTCTGCCCACGGCTTCGTCGTGAACCACTCCCACATGAAGGCGCTCGTGGATTCATCGTTGACAGAGGCGACAAGACCGTGTATATCATTGTTCACTTTGCTCTGTTCAAAGTGTGTCGCGTGATACGTAAGAGCATCACAGACCTTTGAAGGAGATGGCGTCGCTGGGCCACTTCTCGCGTAAAGCCATAACAGAAGCCATGGTCTGACTTCCGCTACCAGGGCGAGAGATACCAAGAGTTGTCCCTTTCAGATCATCGATCTTCTGGTAAGGAGAGTTGACGCCAGTGATGACAGCCCTTGGCCAGCCCTTCAGTTCGGTGCACGCACGGAAGTCGTGAGAGTATCAGACCAGTTAAGCGGAGTGGTCACATAGGAACCAACGAGTTTGTAGAAGTCCTTTCCGTTTGCGATACCAGCAATCAGAGGATCGGTAAGCGCGCTAATAAGGGAGTGTCAGTTCCGGATGTGCAGAATCTGGTAGGCGAGTGTATTACATGGCGATGTCAATCTCGTTGTTCTCCAGTCTCGAGATCAGCTGGCCAGTCCCACCTTGCAAATTCTCAGTCAATACTCTATCAGTAGATGTATGAGAGCTTACCGGGACATTCAACGAGTTTGAATGTCTTCTCTGCATCATCTGCAGCATACTGAAGTAGCGGAGACGAGAAGTGTTCGCGAACTGTCAATAGGACCCGTTAGGAGGCGTAGCCAAACCCCCCATGGACTGATGCTGACCGTAACCAATACGAAGAACAGACATCTTGGAATCGTGTCAGTCAGATATTTCGACGCTCTCTCACCACGAAGGAACACAGCAATAGCGCTAATGGCTAGGGGCACCCAAGTTGACCGGCTTCCCGACGATGCGCTGGTACAACCAGGAGCAAGCTCGGCATCTCGAGCCATAGATCGTGCACAAGAGAGTCCATATCTAATTCTGCATGCAAATGCAAACTTACCGTTTGCTCTGCGTAGGAGATGGCGGTTCAAGAATGGGAAACGCGCTGACCGAGATCGTCATGCCCGGCAATCTCCGTATGGCCTTCTCACGGCACGAGGGCGCTCTGATCGAGCGCTATCACACCGAACACGAACCACCAGGACGGTGGTGCCACTCACTTCGGGTTTGACTGTTCGCCTTTCCTGTAACAACCGAGTTACGCGTACACTCAGGCTGGCCTGATAATCGCATCTATCTGTGCTAAGGCTCACGTTGGGCGAGAAATCCGTAATCTGACTGGGCTGAAGTTCTGCGGCGTCCACGCTGTTGAATATGTCCGATCCAGATGAGGACACGAAGGTCGCGACCATTCTTGACGTACTGGGAGATATAGATCCAGCGATTGCACGCCGCTTCTTACGTCAACATAATGGAAATGCCGAGAATGCACTCAATGTCAGTCTACCACTAAACATTTGAAAACTCTTGCCCTGGGTTCAATCTTGCAAGTCTGGATATTGAGGCCCTCTTTCTCCGTAGGCGCTCTTGAACGAGAATACCGGGGAAGGCGCAACCGGGTTGGAACTCGATCCTGGTCCTCCGCCTCTTGTAGCCGTGCCACCGCCATCGCCGCACACCAGATCGCGCTGTATGTGTAGCTGCCACCAATCTGGCCACTCTGTTGTTCACAAGAAAGCCAGCTCTAGACCGTGCGGATCAAGATGATGAGCAACTGAAAGAAGCTCTCCGCATGTCCCTCGAAGGCAGCGCCGGTGTGGGCCCGGAGGCATCAGCGCCACCTACGTCCCTCAAACTTCACCCCAGCGATAGGCAGCCAGACCTGAACTGGGCTTTGACGGTGCCTTCTCAGGTCAGTGATGCGTCTCTCTCGTTGACTCATCATAATGAAAGAGAGTAGGCTCCCGCTGGGATATCGCAAGAAGATGAGATGATGCAACGTGCCGTTCAAGAGAGTATGGCCTCTTTGCATAACGACGACTTCAGACCTAAGACAGCCTACGAGTGTATGCGAACTGATGATAGGTTGGTACGATGGTGATCATGTGCGTCGCGAAGCTCACATCATGTACAGGCTCATGGCGTTCCGCGCATCCAATCCCGCTCTCCAATGGGCTGCATTGGTCCTGCAAGTCATCTGCGCGCTCCCGCACGTAAAGCGTGCGCTCGCAGAATGGGGGAAAGACCTCCCTTCCGACATCCTGGAGCAGCCATATGCTGACGATCCTTGTACGAGCACGCATCAACTACCCGTCCTTACGCCCGACACTCAGCGCACTGGTCCAGATGAAACGGCGTTTCTGATACTGCAGATGTGCGTTCGCATGAAGTCGAGCAGTCTGCAGGAATACATTGTCGACGATATTCTGGCGAAGCTTCAGGTCAATCCACTTGTTCCTGGAGTTCCGCCTGGAGAGGCCTCTACAGGTATGATTCGATTCACTAAGTGTCGTGCTCTACTGAAGAGTAGGATGACTAGAGCTCTATTCAAGGCTGACGATGTCGATCGAAACTTTGCTTCTGAAGTGCTCGAACGGACAGGATAAGCTTCGACGGTAAGCTGTGCGACGATCAGATGCACCGCCCGGCGTTAACGACTAGTATCGATAGCATCTTCTCTCTTCGGCATGGGTCGGCAAGGGTCCCTTTGCCACCGCCTGAGGAGGACGCTGTATTCGATCCGGCTTTAGACACCAACGTCGTGCACGTGACCGTCAGCTCGGACCGTAGCGAGGGATCGGAGCTACTAGCAGAGCTGGAGAAGCTCATGACGGGTACCGCTGATGGCGCTCGTGTCATATCGACTCCCTCGGACATCATCGCATTCAACATCGTGCGCATAGATATGCTGCCTTCCTATTCCCAGACCACATCTGGCGGTGTCGACGCGGGCAGATCACAAGAGCGCAGGCCATTCAAGTATCCGGAGCATCTCTATCTCGACCAGTTCTTGAGGGAGAACTACGATAAGACACAGAGACAGCGCGAGGAGCGCCAGGCAATGCTTCAGGAGGCCGCTCAGCTTGAGGACAACAAGTTCAAGTTGACACATCATAAGGTAAAGCACTACCACATGTTACACATCATGTACATTCTGACAGACGTGCGTAGGGCAGAGATGCGCTGAAGGATCTTCGCGGAAGCTTGTACTACATGGAAAGCATTGCGGACCGATCGAGCCCCGAACGCACAACGATCGTTGAGCAGAGTGCAGAGAAGCTTCGAAAGATCATTGCACACATCGAGAGTGAGGTCGCGTGTGAGTAATATCTACGTTACTTTAGATCATCCCTGAAGTGGACATCCGTAGCTATCGACAAGAAGGTGGAGAAGTTGAAGGAAGATGCCGAGAAAGCTCTCTTAGGTGGACCTGACATGCAACGGCATCGTGTGAGTGTTCATCGTTTCACCGTGGCATGGGCTTGTACTGATGCGTCTGGCATAGTATGACCTTCGCGCTCTACTAGTGCATGACGGTCAAGTCGGCCGTAGGCATCTCATCTCCTATATCAGGATCGGCAGCCAGTACTTCCAGACCATAGATGATGATGTTATCAAGGTCATCACCCTTCTATGTACACCTCTTAGGCACTGAGCTGATGCACGCACCAGTTGGACGCGCTCCCGTTGAACGACACGACGGGCTTGCATTACAACGCCGGCCCATATATGCTAATTTACTCTCGCGCGCCCGCGGACGAATTCGATTACGCGGACGAAGACGAGAGTATCATATGGCCGGAAGTGCTTCAGGTGCATATCTCTTCCTTTGTGTCTTGCGGGAATCTGATTGCTCGCAGGACATGGTCGAGAAGGAGAACCAGAACCTTTGGGAACAGGCGTCCGGACAGACCCCAGGCAGTCCCCCGACGAAGTATGCGACCCCGTCTAGCATGGAGGTCAACGCAAGCCCGGCTGAGCCGGATATTGAGATGATTGAGCGGATGGACACTACGTAGGGGTACCCAGGCGGGTTTTGAGGACGCTAATCGTAGGGGTATCTAGTGTGTGCGATGAGCCGTAGACGGGACTTTGTACTTCATCAACTGTATCGGTATCACATCAATGCTTGTAGTTATGGTTGCTCGACTAGTTTTGCATGTGGCACTTGAGATTACCCACTGCATATCCCCAAAGAGCGTACTGCGGATGGATCCGTCAAGTGACACTGCGTTCACAGTGGCAAAACGTCTGCGTGTGAATGCCCTCCGCGCGCTGAACCGCACGCCGAACCCGAAGCGCGGCGGCTGTGGAAGTCGCGCGAGACGCGACTTGCCCTGGACCATCACTACACGATTTCAGCACCTCGTACTGCCCGCTCTTGAGCGTGCACTTTCTGAGTGCCTCTTGTTCATGAGAACGGTCCTGTACTTCGTTGACAGCGTGTCCCTTGATGAGACTATACAGGCTCTACCCACTCGGCCAGTATCCCGATAGCTGACCCATCTCGACGATCAAGGTGGATAGGAACGAGGCTTTCAGAGTGCTCCGTACTCCGCCATTGTCAATTAGCAATTAAGCAATAGCAGGGCAAACTGACGAGCTCTGCTCTGGATTTCGAACATGACCAACGGTGATGACGCGATCGTGCGAAGCGCATCTACGGCTCCTCACCCGTCCCTTCAACCGAGTACTACCGTTGATGCTTGATGATTCAACAGCCCCAGCCTACAGTAGTTTCATGCTGCCATTCAAACTTGCGTGCTTCCGTCAGCGACGGGGTCCATCCCGCTTGATGTAGTAGCGTCGCTTGTCAACGCGCATCACAACCTGCCTGCGGCATACCAGTCTATGGTATAAAGATCAGCGAGACATGGCTCACTGACTACATCATCTGGGTCGCTCTACTCCTCAGTAAACTACTCTCAACTCTACAGCATATTCGACATGTCTTGCGAACACTGCATTAAGGGTGAGCGATCACGGCCATTCTCATTGGATCGACCTAACTTTCAACTCGCAGGCGTTCGCCATGAGGGCATTCCCGAAGGTATGGCCTCGCTAGCTAGCACCGCGCTTGATGAAGCTGACCGGCTTTCGCAGGTACTTACCAGGAAATCACTGGAGTCAAGTGCTACATCGCCACGCCATCTGGCGAGTATGATAAGTCTAAGGTCGTGGTCTATCTCACCGATGCGTTCGGCATCGAACTTGTCAACAACCTTGTAAGTACCTCCATCGCTCATTATGGACCCGTAACTCACGATGTGCAGCTTCTTGCCGACGACTTCGCTCGCAATGGATGGAAGGTTGTCGTACCGGACCTCTTCGAGGGCGAGCCGATGCCCGCCGACCTCCTCGACAACGTGCGCTCATCCTCATTTTCCGTGCTTCTTCTAGCACCGACTCGCATTTCATGCCTTAGGTCAAGCCCACCGATATCAATGTCAACCTTGTAGCCCTCGGTAAGGAGCGCGACTGGGATTTTCTGGCTTGGGTCGCCGAACACGGCCCCGCGCAGAACGTCCCGCGAGTCAAGGCAGTGATCGAGGCTCTCAAAGCAGACGGCATTACGCGCGTAGCTACCACAGGCTACTGCTTTGGAGGCCGCGTCGCGTTCAGCCTCGCGCACGATGGGATCCCCGATGTCACTGCGACTTCTCATCCTTCGGCGTTGCAAGCTGAGGATCTCGAGGTGAGCCTCCGCTATATTCGATCTGTATTAGATCTTACTGATCCCGCGACAGAAATACGCCGTCAATTCGAAGGCGCCGCTCCTCATCAACGCCTGCGAGATCGACTTCCAGTTCGGAAAGGATAAGCAGGAGAAGGCGGAGGAGGTCTTCAAGGACTTCACTCCTGGCTTTAAGCAGACGTATTCGGAGGGATGTGTACATGGATTTGCTGTTCGCGGCGATATGGTACGTGATCGCGTGCATGAATATCTCAGGAGTGACACTTACGCACATCATCAATAGAGCGACCCTAAGGTGAAGGCGGGCAAGGAGCGGGCTTTCAACAGCACTGTCGAGTGGTTCAAGAAGTATCTGTGATCGGGCATGGCGAACTATCAAAGTCTATCTCTGAATGTATTCATTAGTGACGATTTTCTTCCTGTACGAATCGAGTGTAGCTTCGATCTTTAGCGCGTGCGGAAACGCTCGTATGATGGGCGACAAGAAGTCGCTTTGAAAGTCAGCCCTCTTCGAGACGTTCGCAGGCGAACGTTTTGAGCGTCTCTGTAACAGTCGTCGACGTCATGCAGACAGTTGTCGTCTTCGGTTCACTCTCATCTCACGCCGAAGTACAGATGTCTTGATGCACACGAACAGGCAGGGAGTTTATCCGATAAATTGGTACATTTATATTCCTTCAACTGCTACAGATTGTCCATCGCACAGTCCGAAACGAGAGGTTTAGTAGTCCTGGGAGGAAGCCTCCGAGAGCTGCTTGTGCGCCTTGTACTTCGCCTCCTCCTTGTCGACGAAGTCGAGGCCCTTGGTCTCGACCATGCGGTCAACGAAGGCACCAGCGAAACCGGCACTGTAAAGGTTACACGTGAGAACGGTGGCACTTTATGACGAAGCGTGTGTGCCAACGTACAGGATCTCCTTAGCCTGAGCGTGGCTGTCGGGCTTGCCGTTGGCAGAGACGTGCTTCTCGTACGCCTTGGCGGCCTCGTAAGAGGCGGCGGCAGCGATGAGCTCGTGCGAGAGCTCGGCCTTGTGGGGCGCGTTGGTGACCTGGGTAGATCGTCAGGACAAGGATCAAGCGGCGACAGGATAAGCGGACGTACCTGCTCGTAAGCCTGGGCCTCGTTGGAGTCGTCGCCGAACCAAGTCATGATGATAGAGTGGTAAGAGTGGTTGAAGTGGTGGTGGTGGTGAGATGGGTGAGGATATCCTGGCGTTGTAGAGTGAGACTGTGCGGGTTATATACCATCTCGGTGCTCTCCGTTATCTCGTTCGATCTGCTGTCGTCATACACCCCCATCCGGATGGTTGAAAGGGCAGGATAAAAATAGGCACTCGGTTGCGGTGCTCATCTGGACACCGCCTGACGACCAGTGCGCGAGATGGCGTAGATGAGCCGTACTGACGGCACTGGATGCGGTGTAAGATCGCCCCAGAAATTCTGATTGTACCGGATGCGACCTAAAAAGGCGTAAAGCGCCGCAAGCTCGACCCCTTCTCTGCACGCACGAGCGTGATCTCCCTTCGTTTGTCCCTGAACGAGACGACCCAACGGAGGCAGAATAGTTGTGGCGTCAGAACGCTGCGCAGCGGAAGCTCGATGAACAGCAAATATAGCGCATGTGCGACTTCCAGACTGTCGCTGAAGCTGTAGCATGTAGTACAACTACGAACACTTGGCGTGGGCTCGATAAGAATGCGCTAGCTGATTCATTTGCAGGATGGGTACGGCTGGCCATGGCCATGCAGAGGAGCAACTCATAGAAGAGTCCACTTCCATGGTGAGGGTGGCGTACCTCTGCATAGCTCGAATCTCATACGGCATGTGAGCCTATCTGACAGCAGGGTGAAACCTACCATGAAAGGTTCCTCGACGTCAGGGCATCCGCGCGCGCGGAGAGCAGATCACTGTTGTATCCAGGCGCAACCTGGGCGCATCGAGTGAGGAACAGACTTCTGGTGGGGCTTGTACGTTCTCCCGCTACGAACAATAGCAACTCGGGAGCACAAGAGCATGCAAAGACCCCGCAACGAGCGAGAGAGGATGGATGTTGGTTGACATGTTTGTATGCACGCGGCTTCCTCGGGCATCAGCGTGATGTCATTGCTGTGACGCGTAAGAGGATAAACACGTGTTGCCCCATCATTCCAGTGCGGAGAGCATGCTGGGGACATGTCGGCTTGAGCGCGACGCGAAGCGCGTCTTGAACGAGGCTACCCATGCCATACTCTGCACAACAGGATTTCGATACCGACTACGCCGATCCCGAGTGGGTGACCTAACCATGTATTACACATATATGACTCTGTGCTCATATCAGTGTAGTCATATCCAGGCCTTTGCCGCCGCGCTTGCTGCCGACGAGAACACGCTACTACCCGACCTCCCATCCCCTTCCCCTCATGCATCACGCCCCAGTACACCCGCCACATCCGGCTTTGTAGGTGGCAGCACCCGGATTCGAAAGGTTTCCGCGCTCTCCGATTTCGCTCCGGTGAACAGCAAAGTCAAGAGGCAAGTTCGAGTTGTGGCCACGTTCGCCATTCACGGTCTCATATTGGCTCTACCAGGAGGCGGAAAGGTCACCATGTTCACAAGCATCAGTCTGAATGGCTGTTTATCTTGTTCCGCTGGCCGCTCTTGGTGCGTATCTATATGTAAATGCCGATCATCGCTATGTCTCAAGTTGAATGATCAGCTGTCCATATTCTTGTTGATATCCTTCGAATTTGGATTCTACGTCCTCATTCGCCAACTCGTGAACGCCAAGGAGTGGATGTCGGCATGTTGGTGCCACAGCTCTTCACAAAGCACCGCGGCTCATGTTCACATTGTCTAGGGCGCGGACGGAAGGGGATGCTTCGGCGACGATTGCGGGGTGCGAAGACATACGAGGTGCGCGCACACGATCGTCGAAGCTCATCTATTGCGCCTTGTGCTTACTTCTGTTATCAGGAATGGAAGGCGGCCGCACATGATCTAGACGAGTACATGGGTTTCCACGAATGGAAGGAGATGGACGAGGACCCCTTCTACGACTGGCGCCTTGTTCGGAAGGTACGTAGCTTATCTGTCCTCGTCCAACTTTGTCTGAGCTTGAATAGGTGCGACACTCGCTCAAGACTCTGCGGAGGAAGGACGACGCTCGAGGTCTTCTCGGTGTTCTCGAAACATGTATGCGTGTGAACTTTGCGGGTATAGAGTCTTCTAGGTGCGCGATACCCGAGATACGTTCCACCTGCAACCTCGATCTCACAAAGATACGCCCAGATTGTATAGCGAGGTACGCCTTTGTCCATGTCTAAGGATCCAGAGTGTTGACGTCGTCGCAGACATACATCGGCTCGAAGAATCTGGTGGAAGGTGCGATCATCGCCTGCTCAACGTGCTGCCATTGTCCTGAACTTCTGCTCAGACTACATTACGGAGCTGGCAAAGGCGTTGGAGTACATTCGACGGTCACCACAACTCTCGATCGACGAAAAGAAGCGGTTCTTCAAAGGCGTCAACACGAACTATGGGCTTACCGCGCTTTGTCTCTCTGGGGGCGCAAGCTTCGGCTACTGTGAGTTTCGTCGTTCAAAGGCAATCTGATTGTTCTGACGTAAGCCTCCTAGACCATTTCGGTGTCGTCAAGGCATTCTTGGAGGCGGACCTGTTACCCCGCGTCATTACTGGAACGTCCGCCGGCGGTTTAGTGGCAGCTCTCGTATGCACTAGGACGGACTCGGAGCTCAAGCAGCTGTTGAAACCCGAACTGGCATGCAAGATCACGGCTTGCGAAGATCCGTTCAGTGTGTGGTTCAAGAGGGCATGGACGACAGGAGCTCGCTTTGACAGCGTCACTTGGGCGAAGAAGGTATGTTCACCTTCGATCCCCACGCACATGTGCTCGATGCTGATCAGCTCGCCAGTGCTCATGGTTCACGCACGGTTCTCTGACATTTCGAGAGGCATATATGCGCACCGGCCGTATCCTGAACGTATCCGTCGTCCCCGCCGATCGACACTCACCCACGAAACTGCTCAACTATATCACCGCCCCGGACACCGTCATTTGGTCTGCGCTGCTCGCTTCTGCAGCTGTTCCGGGCATCTTGAACCCTGTCGTCCTTATGCAGAAACTCAAGGACGGGCGTTTGGTACCGTGGAACTGGGGCAGCAAGTTCAAGGATGGGTCTCTTCGGTACGAATTTCTGCCAACCTTGCAATCGCTCGTAAACTTATGTTATGTTTAGCGTCGACATTCCGGTTCAAGGGCTCAACCTCTACTTTAATGGTGCGTCTCGCCGTGCAGGAGTCTTCCAACGCTACCGAGCTCATATGGTCGTATAGTCACCAATCCGATCGTCTCTCAGGCAAACCCTCACGTTCACCTATTCTTCTTCGGCGCCAGAGGTTCTGCAGGAAAGCCTGTCGCTCACCGAAAGGGCAAGGGCAAAGGTGCGTTCATCTGCGCACGAGACGTTGGCTTGGGCTGACGGATCCTTGGATAGGCTGGCGAGGAAACTTCATTCTATCCGCTGCCGAACAGTGGTTGAAGCTGGAGTTGACGAAGAACTTCAAGCTGATTCGTGATCTTGAGCTCTTGCCACCGTTATTGGGCCAGGATTGGTCTGGCGTCTTCTTGCAGCGGTTCGAAGGCAACGTGACGTACGTCAACAGGCAGTCCATTCTTGTACCCTCAAACTTATCTATCAAATAGGATCTTGCCTCGCACACGGCTTCGAGTGAGCGTTTATCTGACCGTTATCTGATCGGTAGGCTGACACGGTCGCAGGACTGGTTCAGGATATTGACGGATCCGGACCCTCCAGAACTGGAGCGCATGCTTAGCGTCGGGCAACTAGTGACTTGGCCCAAGGTCCGTCCGGACTTTCTCTATAGCACTTCACAGCACTGATCCCCTGGTCTCCACAGCTTCACATCGTCGAGAACAGGCTGCGACTAGAGCGTCAGGTATACCTCGGCCGGCAAGCGGTGCGCAAAGCGCAGAAGCCCACGCGTCACGTTAACGGCTCTTTCAAACCTCGCGACGGTGGCCTCCCTGCGACAGACGATACGCCCGCGATTGCTACCGCAGGACCATCCGACGACGAAGGGGAGACCAACGGCGTCGGCGAACCTTTGTTCGAAGACACCGATGCTGAGTCTGCCTTCCGCGACGGCGCCTCCTGGATGCAGAAACGCGGTTTCCCAGAGGCCGCTCCATCTGAGGCAGCAACGCCGACGTCGCCGGATAACAATAACTTGAATGTGCCCTTGCGCATACCTATGCCGCGACGAAGACGCGTCGACGACATCTTCGACTCGCAGGAATCACAGCCACGGAATGCTGAGGAGTCTATGGACGCGTCGTCTTCAGCTACGATAACCCAAGACATTACAGCTCGCTCTCGAGTGAACTCCTCTGGCTCATTCTTCGAACGATTACGCCAGCAGTCCATCCAAGGCTTCACGCGCCCCTTCTCGTCCATGCGCCGTCGTGGGGCGCGCTCGCGCTCGTCTGTCACTTCTGTCGGCCGCGAGGATTCGGCGTGGAGCAGCGATAGCGACAGCGACGATTTCGCTATTGATGATACGGCTAGCGTTAATCAGTTTCATCCGACGAGTTTTAATATACCTGCCGATTCGCCGCAGGAGACTGGGGAGCCAGAACCTGAGGATGAGTTCGCGTGAGGGGTAGTTTCTTTGCAATCATTGTAGCTTTATGTGGAGGATCGTTTGGTATGCGATTATTGTATCTTATAGTAGGCTTTCTTTATTCATCATCGCTGTCATGTTATTGCAGTATTGGTTCTCAGAGAAGCTGTGGATCGATTTGACTGAGCTATATTTGCACCAGGTTGAGCGGGTGATACGCACCAGATCGATTCCTCTTGAGAGGCTCATCACGTCCAGAACGACAGTGAAGGTCTCGTCGTTGACAATCCTATCGTAGAACCACTCCCCAAAGATCGCTCGCGGCGGTACACCGTCCAACCTCCCCTCGGCCATATTCATAGGCATCCGCATACGCCTCACGACCTGATCCAGATTCAGTTGTCCGAGCCTGCTATCCCTTCTCAGCGTATACCCCACACTCTCCAAGAACGTCCCCAATTCATGCAGATGCGCGCGATTCACAATCAGCCTGTACGTATTGCTGCGATAGGCATCGTCGAACGACTGAGTGCGTGGTGTTGTGAGACCGAGCTTGCCGCGGAGTTTGCGGAAGGCGGGTCGGGAGGGGAAGAAGAGCGATATGCGCCGGTTGTCGTCTTCGGCGCGGCGGAGGTAGGAGCGTTTGGCGGTGAGGGCGGTGCGGCAGGTTCGGCCGAGAGAGACTATGTCGGGGGAGGAGAGGAAGGAGAAGATCGTGTCTAGGAGGTAGACGTCGTAGAGGACTGTTTGGGCTGGGGTTAGTGAGACGGGCTGCTCGCTCGCTGCCGCTGTTGAGGCCGGTGAGCCGATTGCTCTTTGAGCAGATACGTCAGCTTGCCATTCTCAGACGTATCGTCCGAAGCAGAAGCCATGTTAGTGAGTGCATGCGCCGTGTGGCGACGAAGTACGATAAGACGGGGATAGCTCAATAGATAGCAAACTATATACCTCTGCAGCCGCCAATCACAGGGCACAGGGTTCGTGAAGCGCCACATACACTGGCAGCGATGTGGATGCGAATCTAGCCTCTGAGGGACACGAACTAAGGGAGAGTTGGATACCAGGAGGAAAATGCGACTACAAGCGACGCGACGTGATGTATTTTGTGGGCTATACGACGCGTACGACCAAGCAACTGAGCGTACAGGACACGGGCGCTTGCAGCTGAGAGCCACACGCGGCGACTTCACACATTCGTGGAAAGCCGAGCGGAAGCGTCACGTGCAACTGTACAGCTGATCGCATCGACCGACGACCGATTCCGCGGCAGCGCAGTTTTTTGCTCATCGACCACCGCGGCCGTCAACTCACCCCCCTCCCGCAGGAAAAAAAGAAAACATGAGGTGCGTATACCTGTGTCAATTATTGTGAAGATGGTATTGACTCCCAGTGCAGCAGCAAGCTCTCAGTGTCAAGCGTGCGGGGCTCCGTCCGGGACCTCCTGGCCGACTCGCAGGGCGAGAAGCGCCGCAACTTTGTCGAGACGGTCGAGCTCCAGATCGGTCTCAAGAACTACGACCCCCAGCGCGACAAGCGTTTCTCGGGTACCGTCAAGTGCGTATTCAATCCCAAATATTCGGTCTACTTTTAGTGACTTGATACCCAGGCTCCCTAACGTCCCCCGCCCGCGCATGTCGATCTGCATTCTCGCCGATGCGGCCGACATTGACCGCGCCAAGTCCATCGAGCTCGAGTACATGTCCGTCGACGATCTCAAGAAGCTCAACAAGAACAAGAAGCTCGTCAAGAAGCTCGCCAAGAAGTACGACGCCTTCCTTGCCTCTGAGACCCTCATCAAGCAGATCCCGCGTCTCCTCGGTCCCGGTCTCTCCAAGGGTATATCTCTTTTTCATCACTTGTTGGGAGAGTAGAGTGCTGACGGGGTTGCAGCCGGCAAGTTCCCCACTCCCGTCTCGCACGCTGAGGACCTGAACAGCAAGCTCACTGAGGTTCGCTCGACCATCAAGTTCCAGCTCAAGAAGGTTCTTTGCCTCGGTGTCGCCATCGGCCACGTCCAGATGACCGAGGACCAGGTCCTTGCCAACGTCATGCTTGGTGCGTATATCCTCTCTTGCGCTGATTTTACGTGCGAACGTTCATGCACCTCTCTGCAGCCATCAACTTCCTCGTCTCGCTCCTCAAGAAGAACTGGCAGAACGTCAAGTCGCTCCACATCAAGACGACGATGGGCAAGCCCGTCCGTCTCTTCTGAGCGGCTCGCTTCCCACCACACAAGCCCATGTTCTTTCTCGTGTTTCTGGCGATGGCGTGCTGTTGGATTGACGGGGTTTATGGGGGAAAGGTATGACGACCGAGCGGGAGCGCACAGGGCCGCAATGCATAACATGAAGCCCCGCACGCTTGGACCAACGGCTTCTCAGGGGGTAGGAGCCGATTGGGAGCTGATGCGGCCCGCATGTGCGTGTACTGCGAAGTCGTCTTTTCTTTCTTCTGTTCTTTGTCCTCTTTTGTAGCCATAGCTGGTGCACGGGTTTATATGTTGTCATATGCTGTATGAAGAATACTTTGCAAACGCCCTTCCTTGCGTGTGATCACGTCTCAGCTCGCTCGCAGACCGATTTTGGGAAAATCAAGTCGGTCGTTTGATGGCGCAGGATTCTCGCGCGACCAGTCTACACTGCACAATGATAAACGTCGTATCGCATTGCATAAATGTTCTACCACGCGCAATACATAAAATATAGCGCTACGACCATTGGGTCGATATACTGCGCGGGGGGCGCGCCTTTCCCTTGCCTTTCCCAGAGGCCCAACGGGACTGCGTTGACCCTGGATCTATTCGTTGCGCACAGAGTGTACGTCTTCGGCTATAAGGCATTGACCGCGTCATGGCATTACCGCCACGAGACGGGTTGGAGAGTACAGCGTAAGGGAACGACGCTCAAGCCGCAGGCTGCTCACCATCAAACGCATCCTCAGGTACCTCTCCTTGGACTTGCGAGAGAGCGCCCTTCAGAATATAAACGAAAGGACCGGACTTGACGGGCGGCGGAGTCGACTGATACCCAATCAGCAACTGACAACGCGTGCAGCAGAAACGAAACTGTCGCTCATGTCCGCCGGAAGACCTGTGCAAATACGCAGAGTGTGAGCCGCGTGTTACTTGCTTACGTTGTGGCACCGCCGATGATCGACTTTGCTTACCTCTCGACGAGAACTGGGTCGATCGTGTTTACGTTTAGCTTGAATACTTGGGCTTTGGCGGAGCCGTCTTGGGCGTCTTGTGAGCGGATTATGATGGAGCCGTCCGTTTGTCGTCTGGGGAGGGAGGAGAGGGTACGGTCTATTACGAGCTGGGAATTATGAGACGCGGTTCGGTGGGTTGATTGATGTAGACTTACGCAGAACTCGCCGCATATACAATCTGATATAACAGCATGAGCATAGCATACGCGATTGGGCAGAAGACGCGCTCACAATACACACGCAAAGCAGCAGCCGAAGACGCCGTTGGGGCAGCTACACTTCCGATCAATACCCAACCTCAGGAGACTCACGCGTATTGAGCGCACCGTTCGTCGACGTCGACACCGCAGATCTCGATACGACCTTCGGCATGGCGGATATAGTATCACCGGGGCTATACCACACCGGAGATGTCGACTTGCACTGCAAATGACGGCGAGAGCCGAGTTACGCTTTGAGGGCTTGGGCCGCATTTAGTAATCGTTCCCACTCTCTGACTTCGTACCACCATCGCCGCTATTGTTTCGGATGGAGAAGGATGCCACTGCTCGTTTAAGGCGGGCAGTCAAAGGTGCGTCTCTTAGTCAAATGTGCAATCTGTAGATCTGTTGAAGTAGATTGACAGAGAATAATCTATTCCTCGTCAAGAGGCTCATCAAGCGCACCGACCTTCGCAACCCCGACCCTGGCCCGACGCGCTACACCTCGCTCGCATGGGCAGCCGTATCCGGCCATGAAGAGACATTCGAGTTCTTGTTAAACGCCGGGCACGACGACCAGGAGCTGTCCAAGGTGCGTTCTGCTCTTCCCCTGTGCGTCTCGGCGTTTGGCTGAGCCGTGTGGCGCAGGACAGCGAGAACAATACGATCCTTATTCTGCTGGCTGAGATCAAGCCCCCGCCCATCGGAGCGAATAATGGAGGGAATGACATTCTTGGTGCTGCATTGAGGATGGCGAGGTTGTACTTTGAACGGTATCCGTATATTCTGGACTGGTCGAACTCGGAGGGGAGGACGGCGCTGCATGTTGCGGCTATGACGGGGAAGGACGATATGGTCCGGGTGCGTTTACCGAATGGATACTTTTGGGACGTGAGGCTGATGATTGGGTAGATGTTGTGCGACTACGGTGCGGACGTGGACTTGACGGACAACGAGGGCAATACGCCGTTGCACTAGTGCGTCGTGTGATCGCGCGTTCATAGCGCTTATGTTCTGACATGTTCTGCCATTCTAGCGCCAGTGCATGGAACAACATTCCTGTACGTATCTCCGCGGTCTTTCGATGCCTAATGCCTGACTGGTCCTTCGCAGATCGTGCAGTTGCTCATCGAACGGGGATGCCAGTACAACGCCCAGAACAACGAGGGGTTCACGCCGTCTGACTACGCGTACTCGTACGTCACTTCTGTACCTTGTTCCTCGCAACGATGTGCTCACTCATCCGATAGGTTCAGCACACGTGAGACGCTGCAAGATACAGCACGAAATCAGTTCGAGTACAACAAGAAGGCGAGGCGAATATTCGCACAGGCTGCAGCGAGAGGCTCGGAGTGGGTCGGCCCTGATAGCAAGATCGACAAGAAGCTTCCTCCAAGACCTGTCGATGTTCAAGCCGGCGTACGCTTGAGGAGTGGCTCGGCTGCAAGCCGGAATACTGCTACGTCCGATAGCGACTATGAGGGCCCACCCAGCGGTTTCTCGAACGGATCGCAGTCTTCGAAGCCGCACTCGGCGACATCGTTCTACCAGAACTCGTCCGGCACGTTCTCTTCGCCTTCGCACTTCCGCAACGGCTCGATCTTGCATCCACCCTTGACGAATCCTGCTTCGGCTCTGACGCCTATCGCCAATAGGACACTGCAGAAAGATGCGGATGCAATGGAGAAGTACATGAAACGGAATAGGAGCGGGAGCGCGTCGACGGATATCAAGTCGCAGACATCGAATCCATCTTCGGCCGGCCCGTCAGCGAACGGCGATGACATTGCGAATCTGCCATTGAGCGGGTCCGTAGCGCCTCGACGACGTATACGGCCTTCAGCGTCAGCAGCACAACTGCGAACGCCCAAGCCGCCACCTGGTTCAGCTGCAATAGCAGAAGGCGTACGCAGTAGAGCCGGCACGAACCCCTCGACCATCCGCGCCAACCCACCAACATTCTCCCCTCCCTCCGGCGCACTACCCCTCCCCCCACCCGGCTCGCGCGCGCCCTCGCGAAATAAGATGACAGCGAATGGTCCGCTGACTGAAGAGCCACAAACGTTCACGGGCCCGCCGAGTAAATACGCGACGTTCCCTGAACCGCCACCGCCCGTTGAGACGCTCATTACGAGCGGTGCGCCGGCGGGGGGTAATGCGCAGTTGAGCGCGTCTACGACGCCGACGGCTAGTAGGCGGTTGCCGTTTCATCATATTTTGGGTAAGCCGGCGCAGACGGCGAGTGTGGATCATTCGGCTGGACATCGGCGGGGGTCGTCGAGCCATTCGCTTCGTTGAACCCTATTCATACATAACTTCACTTTCGTCTTCCTAGCCACCCCCTCCCTTCTGCAGGATACGCCCAATCCACATCTAAGTTCGCAGTCGCTGTGCCATATCGTTTGCTTTCCCCCTTTCCACGCCCAGTCGAAATATGTATTGGTCTGTATTTCTAGTGATCGCGTCGTGTTGTGTGCCCCATTGCCGTGTAACCGTATTCTTTGTCTTCTTGTCTTGACGCTCTCTGCTGTTACTCAACCACTCCCACACATCACATCGACTCAATCGTTGTCACTCGCTGCATCTTGCCATCCTTTCGTAGTTGTAACCTCCTCTTGGGCTCTGTCGATTAGAAAATTACTGAACACGTAGCGCTTTGAGCGCACGAGACCTACTTCCTGCATCCCTTCTTTTGTTGAAAACGTATAATGGGAGGCGGCCGGCAGGGCCATCGCGATGGGCAGTTGCTTCTGAACAAGTCGACAGCGGCGGAATAGGGGCTCTGCCAACTCAATTGAGACATGTGAACGGGCCCGGTTTGCTTCAGCGCTTCATCTCGACGCTTCTTGAGCGGCTCAACCTCGCGAGGGCTGTCTGCCTCCCCCAGCCGGCGTGCCAAGGGCGCCTGACACCGCACACGAGCACATCACTAGCGAAATAATATATAAACAGCCTAGGCCTCGCTACTACCACGATGAGCCCTACGACGCTCGTCAACGCCGACTCGGCGGACCCGGATCCGACTACGCAGATGGCCTGGCCGAACGCGAGACATGGGGCGAAGAGAGTTAGTGAGAGTGTTGGGGATGGGGAGGGGTTTGATGGAGAGGAGGCGATGGGGGAGAGGAGCGCGAGCTCGAAGAGGACGGATAGGGAGGGGCGAGGGAGGATGAGCTGGGTGGATTTGTTCAATTTGAGCGTGTCGATGGGCGGGGCGCAGATCGCGTGGACTGTTGAGCTTGGGTATGTGGTTGACGAGTGCATTATGTATTTGAGTGTGCTGATGAGAATGTGGGTAGGTATGGGACGCCATTCTTACTATCGCTTGGATTGTCGGAGCAGCTCACGAGTCTGGTGTGGCTCGCCGGCCCTATCTCGGGTCTTGTCGCGCAGCCTGTGATTGGTATGGTTCTCGACGTTGGCTCCGTGTTTCTTTATACTGACAGTGTTTCCAAGGCGCTATATCCGACTCGTCGACCTCCAAGTACCGCAGACGATACTGGGTCGTAACATCGACTATCGTTTTAGGTATCGCCACTTTAGTTCTTGCATACTGCCAGAGTATCGCCGCCTTCGTCGTCGACCTGTTCCAAGGAGGCGAGGGTGACTGGGATCCCACCCGTAATCGCGATGTTTGTGCTGCTCTATCTGCCAGTGCGGAGCGAACACTGACAGAGTTCTGGCTGACAGGTTGCAAACACCGCCATCGGATTCGCCGTCGTAGCATTCTACCTGCTCGACTTCGCACTGAACGCACTACAAGCCTCCCTCCGAAACCTCCTGCTCGATGTAACGCCACCCGAACAGCTGAGCTCTGCGAACGCCTGGCACAGCCGTATGACCCAAGCAGGCAACATCATCGGCTTCGGCTTTGGTATGCATCTCCCCGTCCTGCCCAATTTGGCGCCTAATGGACTAACATGAGCCACGCAGGATTCTTACCGCTGGCAAAGATACCGGTTCTGGACTGGCTGGGCGGTACGCAGTTCCGCAAGTTCTGCGTCGTGGCTATGATCATCCTCGTTCGTGGGTTTCTCCGAACTCGATACGACATTGTCGGGCTTACAAGCGCCTCGGGCGCCTTCTAGGTTATTACGGTGTGGATCACTTGTTTCACGATGCATGAGGTCGAGCGTGTCAAGAACGATAAACACCAAGGGTATGTGTTACCCGGGACAAGTGGCGTGGCAATAGTGTGGCTTATATGTGCTTGGATAGGAAACTGCGCGATATCTTGAATAATATCTATTCGGCGATTATCAAGCTTCCGAAGCCGATTCGGAGGGTCTGTTTTGTGCAGCTCTTTGCGTTTATGGGATGGTGAGCTATTTATATCTCGTCATCACAAGCGTATACTGAAGCTGTATAGGTTTCCCTTCCTTTTCTACTCGTGAGTGCTCTCAAAGGCTGCCTCATGCGTGAGCTGAGCCTGTGGTAGCACTACCTATGTAGGTCAGATCATGGCCTATGAGGAGGATAGGGAACCGAATGCCGAAGTTGCCACCCGCACGGGCGCCCTTGCGATGCTGTTCTACAGTCTAGGTCAGTCGGTTCAGTGATGGGTCTCTGCAACTCCATTGACTCGGTGCCAGTCGCTGCGGCCGCCGGTGCAGGCCTTCCGTACCTCACCAGCCGACCCCCGCAACTCATCGGTGACGACGACGAAGATGAGGACACCGAGCTTGAGCGCCTTGAACAGCTCGTACAGCAGTTACAGGCCGAGAGCGGGGATAAGCCCGTGCGCCTACCACGCATGCCCATCCTGCTTCGCAACGTATGGATGGGCGCGCTTCTGCTGTTCACGGTCATCACGTTCTCCACGTTCTTCATCAGCACTGTGTGGCAGGCATGCATCGCAGTCAGCCTTGTCGGTATCTGTTGGGCGGTCGCGTGCTGGGTACCGTTCGCGATCATCATGGAGTTCTTGAAGGACATCGATGCGGCGGCTAAGCCCAAGCGGCCACTGCATAGTCGCAGCCAGTCGCGCGCGACGTACTCTAGCATCGACGGCGTTAACACCGATGCCATCCTTGAGAGCCAGCAGGTATCCGAGGACGATCCGTTGTTATCGCCGGTCGGAGCTGAGCCTGTGGCGGGCGGTACCATCCTGGGAGTCCATAACTTGGCGATCGTGATGCCTCAGTTTATCGTACGTCCATCCCTCCCGGTCATGAATTTGTACCTTCGACGAACGTCTGATTAATTATCTGTCCAGGTTGCGCTTGTGTCTAGCGCGATCTTCAATGCTGTGGACGGCCCGGACGTTCCCAACGAGGCGGGAGGGCATGACTCGTACTACGGCAAGAACGGCGTAGCGTGGGTGTTGCGCTTTGGTGGCCTGTGCACACTGGTGAGCACGCTCCCCGACGTCCCCACATTGTTGCCAAAGCTGAGGTTGGGAACGTAGTTCGGCGCGGCGATGTGCCGCATGTTGCCGCTGACCCGCACGGAGAAGGAAATGCGGCGTCGTCTGGGCATTCTCCGCGACATTGCGACGTACGGAACAAACAGTTAGACGTGCCGAGGGCGACCGTCGTTCCCGCGCTCTATGTACTCTCGGGTCCCTGTGCCTTTCCCCGGGCCACCTAGTACTTTACTGGGAAGCCTGGGTATGTTTCCCATACCTCGGACTCGTGCTGCATCTGTCAGTTGATCTTCCTTATCTACCATACCTTTCTCTTGGATTTACCATGTATGTTACATCTGTCTGCACGAGTACCCAATCTAGTACACTTACCGCACACTAAGAAGGCATGGCTTTGTGTTGTGAATGATGCCAAGGAACACGCTTTGCCCTCGTTGTAAGGAACGTCGTCGAGCGCCCAAACGACTTGAACCGCCGCACATCGCGGACCAGTCGACGAGGCTTCGCAGGGTTCGATCCGCTATTCCGTGCCATCCCGACAATTGAGAAGTCCTTCGGTCGACGTCAGTTGGCGACTTGCAGGCGCGCGAAAAACTCTGTAGACGACGGACCGCACTCCGAACGGGTCCACAGACGTCGGAGCGCGCGTCATCGGCCGGTCGACGCGCCGAACCGAACGTCAAAGTCACGACGGGTTGTCCGACGGAACGACACACACGAACGTTGCAGCGAGCGGGCCGCTCAGCCTATGTTTTTTCTTAGGGCTATGCAGCATCTGCAGGGTCTGAGCGCTCGAAAGAAGGTGTTATGCGGTTATCTAGACAAAGGCGCGGGCAGGACTGGCCGGGTAGATTCAATCAAGCGCCTGGACGGATTCGGCAAGGCACGTATTTCGGTGGAGGAAAGGTGCGCGGATGAGATTATATTTGCAATTACGGGGTTTCCGTCAGTCAATCGCAAACTGCATCATCATACCCGGCCTGGCTTCAGACCACCACCTCTAGTACCCCGACGCTCGATGACCGCCGTTGTAGGCCCGGCGCCGGCCATCCCGCACATGCCCTCCCTCGCGCTCTCAGACGCGAGCACCGGCTCGTCCTCCGACAACGCGCCGGAGACACCGGACCACTCTCAGGTCCTCGCCACGCCCATCGCCCGCCCGGATTACAAGGGCAAGGCCCCGTTGAGGCCAAGGGTGTCCAAGCCGCTCCCGGCACCTCCCGTGCCTACGGAGACGCGCCAAAGAGCATGGTCGACCTTCATGCGCGTCGAGATGCGCGTCTCTCTGCCGGGCGTACTGCAGACTCCGGGCGTACTGAAGAACATGCTACACTTTCTGTCCTGGCACGACTTTCGCGCAGTGGCGCGCTCTTCTAAAGCTTGTCGCACACTAGTCAGGAAACCTGAGCTCGGGCACATCATACTCTCTCGCTTTGTCCCCAGCTATCGATACTGTCTCGAACACGCCGACACGAGCTCTCCCAGTTTCAGAAACGTGCCTTTCGCGTTTAGGGATTTGGATCTCTTCAGTTCGTTTTCTCTTCAGCGTTTAGTGTTTGGGGGTTAGACAAGTGACGTTCGGCTCGCAGTGACTTCCCAAAATATCCCACTGCACAAGTACCCGCGGCATGCACTGTCCGTCCTGTCAGCATTGTGGCCGACCGAACAGCATAATCGGAAAACGGAGTCCTGCATGGAACTCTGTCTTTCGCATTCGAGAACAGTCCTATTGCTTCAATCGCTCATACACAGCTCACAAGCACACATCGCCGACGATTTCGAGGACTTCAGCTTCCGACCTCGCGCGACACCTTCACCGCGCGCTGTTCGCGAGCTCGTCTTCCCTGCTCCCTTGGCGTACTTTTCCGCGCCTGCGTCCGCAGCGTCCTCGGAAACAAATAGTCTCGCTCCCAGCGTAGGCAAGAATAGCACGAAGGGCGCAAAGCGTAGAGCCTCCAAGATCTTCTCCCGGTCCGAGTCGCGCAGCAAACGCACAGTCGCCTCTCTTGACATTCCTCGAGCACCGCCTACAAGGCCGAGCGCCTCGAGCAGGCCGGCCTCCATCTTTGGCACGTTCACGTCTTCGGGCGTGCGCGTCCCTCCACCGCTTCCGTCAGAAGACACGTTGGGTCTGCGGATTTACGCAGAAAGCTGGCGATCGCATAGGCGCCAGCAGCGACAGTCGGTTTCCGCTTCGAGCTCGCTTTCTGACGGCGAGTCGCTCTTCCGGCGTCCGCAGAGGCGCTTCGCGAGCTCATCATTGACGCGTTCGAGCGCGTCATCTATCGACGAGAGCCAGAGCCCGTCGCCTTCTCGCACGCGCATCACTCAGTCGAGAACGCTGCCGACTGTCAGCAGCCCGCATGACATCCGTCTGGCTACATCAAGATTACGTGCGCCCGTCCTGCGCGTTTTTCATCCGTGCACGGAGCTCGACGATGCGGCGTTAACCGCGTGCGAGACGCAATTGGTCGACAGCGGTCTATGGGCGCATCTCTCGACGGGCGACCTTGTGTGCAATTTGGGATACCTCCCGCCCGAAACGACAGAAACGGAAGATGTCGTGACCGGGTCCGAATCCGGCTCGGCGGGCTCGAGCTCGGTCGGTTCGACTGAGAGTCGCGATGGGCTCTGGTTGCTGTTCGATGGAACCGAGCTTGTGCCGTGGGACCCTACGACGCCATTACCGCTTGGGGATCCGCTCAGTTTACCGTCGCCGTTGTATTACGCGCACGTGTTGCCGGCCGGTACTCCCTCACGTTTGACGCTCGCGCTCCCGCGCGCAGAACCGCAGTTTGCGTTGCAACGGTTGACGCTCGACGTGCCCAGCCCCAATTCTCCGCGCGGGATTGCGCGCACGCACCGCTTCGCGTGGCTCGCGACGCTTCCGCCGGCACACCGAGAGAATCTTGGAGAGGGGTGGCAAGGGGAATGGGTGCTCGAAGGGGAGGGTACGCCGGAGGGGAGGGCGCGACTGCTCGACGCCGTCTCGGGCGCCATCAATCGCGCGCAGGAGTGGGAGATGGTGCCCGAGAAAACGACCGCGTCGCGCTTGTGGCTGAGGTGCGTCATTCTCTGATCTCGTTGACGCATGTGCGCGGTGCTGAATGGCGCGCTCGTAGGCTCGTATCATGATAATCTCCTCCGTGCTACAGTACCCCCATCGTATGCTCACACGAACCATCGCCTCACTCTCAGTCCGGCGAAGACACTACCCTACCTTAGACTCAACCCCCATTGTCATATTTTTCACTCACAGGAAACGCAAAACCCCGTCGTCTCTCGGCCGCATACATACGAATACGCCGTACTCGCTCCTTATTCGCAATAACCCCCGCACTTCGGTGCCGCATATGCTTCTCCCATCCATCATTCATCACTCACTCAATCGTAAGATCTGCATCTGAACATCTCCACTTAGACTTGCCACTTGTCACCCCGCTTTACGTATCCCTACCCTCTTGCGCATCCCTTGACGTCCTCGCACACTCTTGAGCTTGTTTGACCACCCGCCCTTTCTACCCTTCCTTTCTACCTACGCTAAACTATCAGCTCGTTTTGACTTTCTCTTGACTCGACGACCTTCGCACAGACCATTTGACTTTCGAACACGGACATGTCTCCGCGCTTATTTCTGTGTCACGCACATACCACGCATCGCCATCTCCACGGACGTTTTATTGCGTTTATATCTTGACGTATAACATGCATGTATACCTGTACTCTAATCCATCCCTATCACATTTTCCTTCATCCTCATCATCAACATCAATATCCCCAGTCTTAGACTCCGCACAAACTGCATACACGAGAAATATGATGAAAAATAGATTAAACTGGTATTACTCTCTACATAGTCTGAAGGGCGACGCGAGGAGGGTAACAGGATACCGTATCAGGCGGTGTCGAATGACGCGTACGAGTACTGCGACGACTGGCACGGTTCTACCGAAAGTGTAGGCGAACTAGACCAGGTACCCTGGAACGGCGTATTCGGTCGACTTGGGAGCGCGACCCTGCTCTCGTATGTTTGTGCCCGCCTAGGATCATACACGTTTAGTAGTTCCCTGCGCGCACGACGAAAAGAAAGGTGCTTACCTTGCCAGCCTGCGTTCCGTGATGAAGTCAGGCTTCGCCTTGTTCGCCTTTATGTCGATGTAGATCCCTGCGGCAAAGCTGATCAGAGAACTGGCGACGATGGTGACGGGGCCCACGGTCTCGGCCGAGCGAATACGATGGTAGTGACAGCGACAACATGGGTGAATCTTCGGAAGACTCGATAACGAAGCAAATGCGTACAGTGCGAGGGAAGAAAGCCGATCCTTCGCTTGATTCCAGATGATAGTGTATAAGTACATGAGATGCTAGTGCTCGCACATATTGAATGGAACCTCAAACATCTCTTCCAAGTTATTGTCCGTCATCTTAGTACGCTCGTCCATGAGCTCCAGCCTCAGCTCCTCTGCTTCTGCACGATCCATCAATCCATCAATATTTTCCACGATTGCATCGAGCAGCTCGAGAGGTAACCTTGACAAGCGGGAGTCGGACGACGTGGAGAGAGAGCGTATAGTGGTGTACATCCATTCGCGCTGCTGAGGGGGGACAAACGTCGTAGAAGGTCGAGGGTGTTCGAGACTTGGATCCACAAGAAAGAGCGCGAGTATCTTGCGATGGCCCGGTCGAGAAGTGTCTGCCAACGCGAATGGCTGCACCTGATGCTGATATATATTGGGGAACGCAATGGAGCGCCCAGCCTTCGTCACAACGGCACCGAGCGTCTGCATGAGAGGATCGTCTCTGGCGAGTCCATACGTCGCCCTGGCTCCTGTATTGCGCTCAGAATAAACTCAGAGCTCAAGTTCACGACTCAGGATGCGAACCAGAAACATCATGTTGCCCAACACTGGGAGCGTTCACGGAAGCGCGGTATGCCAGGCGGCTTTCTGTGACGTTGTCCTCATCGTAGTAGTATATGCCAGTGCTCACGATGGCTTCGTTGATCATGCCTTCTACGTGCCATGAGCCGCCGGGGTATTCGGGGGCGTCCGGCGTCTGTACACACTAGTCAACGAATGAATGCACGTTCAATCCGCAGCAGACGCACCAGATGGATGTTTGCCAGCTTGACAATGACTTGTAGTGTCTTTCCGCGGAGATCCACAGTAGGAGGGGGCGGATGAGCTGTGAATGGGCCCTCTACACTAGGTAGTGTGATCACAAAAGGTGGCTCTTCGCCAGTCTCCAATTCCTCTTCCGTCCATTCCCTGAGATGGTCCTTCTTGTACCCGCCCTCAGTGCGCATAGGTGGCAGATATCCTGCGGCCGTCTCGCCCAATACACGCTCCCATAGTGGCACGAAACGAGCAACCAGCCTCTCCAGAACTGGGTAGCTGCTCGCGTGAACTCGCGGTTCGAGATTGTTGATGTACCCAAGAACGTGTGCCGATGCTCCATCTTCGGATATGACGAAGTCCGTGGGCAGCCATTGAAAGCGTGGCGAGATGAATGAAGCGCTGATCATTGCGGGAAATTCACTTGACAGGCGATGGCTGCCATAACTATCGGGCACCACGATAGTAGCGGGGTCTATCGTATACTGGGGACGCGGAACGTCTCGCGTACCTTGCAGCAGAGAATAGGGTTGAACTGCAGTGTGGCCGTAGACTCCGGGGTATAGCGATGGGTGGACGAGATCCAGAACTTGGCCATTCGCGCGGGGATGCCAGTCTTTGAGCTCGTCAGGGACACCCTCGAGCTTCGTAACACAATCGAGGAGCTCATTGCGTAAGTCCTCATCCACAAGGCTATCCGATTGCCAGATGCGCGCAGCGACCGAGGCCTGAAACTCACGAGTCAGAACACTGCCCGGACACCGTATGAAGATGAATACGCACCTCTATGCCCGTCACGGGATCACGCATCGCAGCATAATGTGTGAGCTCATCTAACACATACTCGACTTCCTCCTCCTTCAGCGGGATTTTGCCGTAAGGAACAGGTGCACCAACAGCCTCAGACTTCCATCGAGCACGAATGTCCGGGTCTGTGTATTTGGTCCACCACTGAGGTTTGGAACGAAGAACCGCGGAGAGCGCGCACATGTTGCGCTCGTTGGCCTATGAAAGTATTTAGTTGACTATATTGATAGACAATCGATGAAGACGCACTGAAACGGGTTGGTCTTCGCACTCGTCCTCGGTATAGTCGCTTCGATCGTGAAAGGGATGGCGATAAACTCCCGACAGTTCCTCGCTGGCTTCTGGCGCCGGCCAGTCTGTGGTAAGGATCAACGACATGGTCTTAATGGTTCAGGAGAAGGTGAGTGAGTTGAAGATGCGGCACGCTTTCAGGCATGCTCGGCACCCGTGTCTTTTGAATGGCTCAGAACTGAATGTCGGCTCGGGCGAAGTACTTGCATGGGACACGTAATGACTCGGGAGAGAACAACTGGTTCGCGCACGGGTGCAAGTCATGACTATGTTGAGAGATGTATCGTCCACCATCTGCGCCTATCTGACTACGTGAGTCGTAAGGGTAGTCGAAGCCAAGACATGGTGGACGCGGGTGAGAGCCTGCCTCGGCCTTTGCGCGGCGATGATTGATTGCGGATCACAGATTTTCCCGCGGGTACAGTATGGCGGTCAGTTTGTTTCAAAATTCGGGGTTCATTTCCACACACCCCGCGCATTTCCAACCCCACCCGCCGC